GGGGTGGGTAAGGAGGGGTGCAATTTTTGTGCTTCACACCGCGCCGGCACCAGTATATATGGGTGTGGGCGGGTGTGAGGACAGCCATTATGTGCAAATTCATAACCCTAATTAACCGGCCCAGGTAATGAACTTTATATATACCAATATGTATGGGTATAATGTTGCAAGTAATCAGAATTTGAAAGACCTGAAAACAGCTCAGAGTTGATACCTTCCAGCCCTATACATATAAACCCCACGAGTCCCCTTGGCCCAACTTGCAGTACCCCCACTTTGACCCCTCGTCCTAAAATACAACCTGGCCGATTCCAACCCACAACGCATTATAGCGGCGTCTTCAGTCCCAAGCACAATCACCGCAGCATTATGCCTCATAAGAGAACCAGACAAGGCCTCCACCGCCTTCACGTAGGGCTCAGAGGGGGCCCCATCGTAAGGTACTACATCCGAAAGCCGAACCCTTGCCAGTGGTGCTATCATCATTTCTCCTGACGTAAGGACCGCGGCAATCGGCACCACCGAGCCAATAACATGATCGGGATTATGGGGCCGGTGGGACCCGGAATGTGTGCGGAGAGAGATAGGTGCAGGAGGGTGAGAGTTGGATGTGGGGGTGGCGTTCGTGGGGGATCTAAGGGAAGAAGAGGAAGGGTAATTGATTGGCTGTGACGGCGGAGCAGTGGTCTGCTGCTGCTGCTGTATCATGATCATGACCGTCAATCATTCTGTAAGATCTGATGAAGAGAGAGATTTTCGGGTTTTTGTTTCTATGAGAATAGTTCCTTTCGTGTCTATGGGGCCGCAATGACCTAGATAGGGTTCAAACAGGAAGAGAGCTCGAGCGAGTTTGAGAACCTAGTATTCTGTTTGTAAGTGCTGCGTTATGCATAAATGTATTCGTGTTACTTTTTTTACCCTTGAAAAATCACATCTAGACTCCTCACGTTTAGGCAATTACACTAAGACCCTCTATCGGTAACGGTTAGCTAATCGACCAAACAAAAGTTGCAAAATGCATATTTTACTCTTTTATGAAAATTAAATAAAACCAACTAAATTCAAACCCCAAAAAAATACCCCAACTCAAATCTAACCCGACCCAATCGACTCCTCCAACCCAAATACAAACCCTAGTACATCTCTCTCTCTCTCTTCAACAACTACTACCACCACCTTTTATACACCCCCAAGCAATCCTTGGCCCTAACACCCCCCCCCCCCCTATGCCTCTTTCCCCCTCCATTATTTCACTGTTGTCGCAACCTTGCCTAGGTTAACCTATAACCCTTATGATTTTAACTCCGTCTAATACAATGTGAATTAACAATAATAAAGGTAGTTGTTTCATAGGCATGATGAAGAATGGGTTATTGAGGATACCTTGAGACATTAGAAAAAAATTTGAGAAGTTAGGGTAGAAAAGTGTAATTTTTTTGATAACAAAATTTGATACAATTGAACTTAATATGGATAAATTAGTGTTGTAAGTATGATCGGGGTGTCGTATAGGTGGAGATAGGTAATTTTTAAAGGATTCGGTGATAGTGAGGAAATAGGAGGGGTGGAAGTGTGAAGTTTGGAAACTTGAATTGGGGAAGCAAGTGGCAAAACTCAATTCCACGGCGTTTTTTCAGTCGACCAACTTCTTGTCGTCTGTCAACTAGCTTGAGTTTTGGTTGATCGACTTAAGTCAATTTGGCCATTTGGTTTCCTCCACCATCTTGGCTTTTCGTCACGAGTATAAAATACTCCCTCATTCTCATGTTTCGTATCTTCAGAACCTTAAGCACCTCGAAAATATAGCACTCAAAAGATAGAAAAATGAGAGAAATTCGGAGACTAGTGGGAATATATCAGAGCCTGGATTTGGATTCGTGGTATTTCTAGCCAATTAGTAATAAACTAATTTGAGATATAAACTCTTTTCTACTTCCTTATCAATGTTGCTTCGCATATTTATTTTTGGGATCAAGGGCTAAAATATATGTTCTATATCCAATAACTTATTTTATGTTCATCGCATTACTAATTAGGAAGTAGATGGGGTTTTGTGATCTGAACATGAGTTCTTGCACAAGATGATATTAGATGGATTTATGTGATTTTTGTTACTAAAATTTGTGATACAAATGAATATGTTACTCTGTAAAATTTAGGTTTTACACTAGTAAGTATATGGGCTCAATCAAATGATACTATGGATTATGAAAATCATTTTCTAACAATTGAATATTTTCAGTAGCTCACGTTGATTTGTTATTACTGGATTATTATGAGAATATTGTTTTGGGCTGATCTGGAAACATGGGTCCATAGTATTGATATTGAAAAAATTGGTGAGTAATACTAGAGGATAGATAGCGGTTGCCTTTGTGATATTACGGATGCTTGGTATTAATTTTTTTGGTAACTAACATTTCAAGGTTTATGGATGGTGTGCCTACAAATCATTGGGAGGACCGATGAGGAGTGCTAGAGGACAGGAATTGCATGTATGGTGCTAATGCATGGTACTAATTTTCCCAGAAAAGTAAACAACGCATAGTGTACCTAGGGTGCAAAATTCTAAAGTTTATCCCAGGGAGTGGTACAGCTCATGCGTGTGCTGACTTGATCCGAAATGTGTACATCCAAGTGCAGATGGTCAAGTTGTAGTAATAAATTGATTAAGTTCGGAGTCGAATTCACAGGGAACTATTGTTAGTATTTTGAAGTAAGTAGTGACAGAGACCATGTGATTGTAACATTTGAGATTATAGTGATGATGTTTAGAGATTTTTCTGGGTCAAATATATAATTATTTCTAAGAAGATTTTCTAGAAAAAATATAAGATAAATTCAAATGTAAATAGTCACTCTTTAGTTCGAGGATTTGGACATGTAATTGATTATCCAGTTTATTATACTTGTGCTTGGTAACTCAATTTACCCCCGTGTCAACAGCAAGTTAATCGGAAGATAAAGGTGGATTGTGAGAATTAAGAACACAGTTCTGATGTCTTTCTAGAAGTTTACAAGAATTGTATGTGCCGAGACTCAACCCATCTACAAACAAGCAAATGTTTCTACAAGATATCCAACCATGGTATTAATATTCCAGTCTTTAAATGAAGTAGAATAATGGTGAAGATTGAAAAGTAGTCCTAAAGATCTAGCCAGGGTACTTGTCTTGAACCAATGAGTCTTTCTATGCAAGAGTTATCTGTGTTATAGAAAATACTCACGATTATACAAAGTACCTTAGCTTTGCTAAATGCAATCAATCATTCTGTAAACAAGTGAAATATTAAGCATTAAGCATAATTGAAATGCACAGATATAACTTCCGAATGATTATACAAGTCTATTACCTCTTACTAAAGAGTGAATGAGAAACTACTCACTCTTTATGGCTTTGGTATAGCTAAAAAAGTGAATGATACTCATCCCTCTAAGTAGAGGAGTTACAAGGTAAAATACACTACATACGGAGCCGATCTTTAACAAAGAATGAGTGAATCACATTCCACTCTTCATGACTTTGATAAAGCTCTCGAAAAGTGAAAGAGTTTCACTCCTCTAAGGGAAGAAAGAAGCTCAAGCAATGGAAGTGAAAGAAACTAACAACGAAAGTAAAATAAAGCTAGTCACTTTTGGAGGATTTCCACCGTAACAAAAAGATGATATATCCTCCTCTATGCAAGTAAATACAAATCTAAGTCTAAGACTAATTCTACAACTTTTCTACATGAAATTATTGCTCAAAATGTAAGCCCAATCTCCTTCTTTGAAGCTCCCACAATGGGAGTATTTATAGGCAAAGAGGAGGTGGCAAAGGAGTGTGGAGGAATAGTACAATACCTTCAAAGTCATGTGTAAGTCCCAATATCTGGAGAGAAAATCAACCACTCTGCTGCCTGTCTAGGGACAACGTTCTAACGTTGTCTGGCGTTCGAATATGTCTCCTGTCCTTGCTTGACGGGCTTTCGAACGCCAGATGTAGTTTGAACCTCCTACTCAAGTAGCCTATGTTCCTCTGTGTGAGCTATTTTCATACGCCTTAAACCACTATCCTTGCACTCATTAGCCTGGTCCTCAATAGTTCAGGACCACGTTCGAACATGGATTGACATTCGAACGTGGTACTCAAGTACTTCAGTGTTTTCCTTCTTAGCTGCAACACTTCATGTCTCAATATTTCAGCAGTATGGTCTTCAAATAATTCAAGGGAACGTTCGAATGTGAGTTGGCATTCGAACGTTCTTGCTTTGTTCCAACCTTCTCCAATTTTGTCCCAGGGCATGCTAGTGTTGCATGAAAATTTGATATTCATTGCCTTTGGACCTTTGTACAATATATATCTTAAAATGTCAACATTTAAACTCTATCAAAGTATAATTAGTCTTAAAAAAGTATAGTGATATGCTAATTTTAACTACTAATCATGTGTTGGGGTTGATATCTGGTTGGTTTAATACTTGTGGCTTACCAAGGCCTTCAGATTATTTTAAAATGATTTAACGCAAGACAACCATTATACCAAATGTGAAATGCATATCATGTTTTACATCAATAACTCAGTAGAGAAACTCTCCCCAATCCTAAATAAAATTTATAAATATAAGAAAATATGTAGATCTCAAATTTTCAAAAAAAAAACATAAATAACTTTTGAAGTAAAAATCATGTGACATTAATAACGATCTTAAATTTCGATACATGTAAAGAAATTTCTTCATATAATGAATCATGTGGAGAATAAATAGTTTGCAAGTTGATTAGCAAAAATTCACACATTAAATATATCTAATCCACCCCACCATAAATTCTAACCATTCAATCAATCCTCGTAGAGCCACATCATTTTAAGAAGTGAGTATATTGACGCATCATTATTTAATAGATTTTACTAACACCCAACCTCAAATCTACGAGAATGAATAGTAATTTGAAATCTCACAAGGAACTAACTCCATTACGAGTGACTGGAAACCTTCAAACCCCTAAAGGTAAGAAAAACATCTAAATACTTAGTGACATAAGTTTGAGTGCTTTCAAGTTCATCAACCCCACCAATACAAGAGAGAGGACTTTCAATAAAACATGCATGAGATTACAAAGAAATATTATCAATTAGAAATTATTCAACATTTAGGGTTTATGAACTAAAAATGCACATGAGGTGTAGATTAGATATTTTTCGAACAAAAATGAATCATGTATTTGCAAGAAATTCAAAACAGTTGCAGATCTATAATAGGTACATGTATTTGAGTCAAAAAACTATGAGCCTCAATGTTTAGAAAGGAAAAGAAACTGAAGGAGTTTAGAATCTCTAAACCATGATGTAACAGTTGGACTAGGACACATGGCAAAGTTACGTGCTAAAGCAATGGCTGGTTTGGCCCAGCCATGACCGAACAAGAGGAGCTCAAGCAATGGTAATGCTTGGTCAAATAGATTTTTGGCCCAGTTGAGAAAACTAAATAGGAGCCCCAAAAAGAAGTAACTTGTCAGAAAATGGTTTGCACGGTGGAAAGCATTCCCAAGCAAAAAAATGTGCGTCTAGCAGAGCCTGAGAAGGTATCATCGGAAAGAGATACTACGAAACTAGAATTCAAGCAAGAGTTTGACTCTATCATCTAGAGAATGAGTCATATCCAAACAAGAATAGATAGCTAGGCCATCCATAGAAACCCGAGGCGATTGACAATATGGAGCCGAGGCACTTA